AATAGTGCCCCATCATTGGTATCAGTGGGAGGAATAGTGCCCCATCATTGGTATCAGTGGGAGGAATAGTGCCCCATCATTGGTGTCAGTGGGAAGGATGCTGCCCCATTGCTGGTGTCAGTGGGAGGAATAGTGCCCCATCGTTGGTGTCAGTGGGAGGAATAGTGCCCCATCGTTGGTGTCAGTGGGAGGAATAGTGCCCCATCGTTGGTGTCAGTGGGAGGAATAGTGCCCCATCGTTGGTGTCAGTGGGAGGAATAGTGCCCCATCGTTGGTGTCAGTGGGAGGAATAGTGCCCCATCGTTGGTGTCAGTGGGAGGAATAGTGCCCCATCGTTGGTGTCAGTGGGAGGAATAGTGCCCCATCGTTGGTGTCAGTGGGAGGAATAGTGCCCCATCGTTGGTGTCAGTGGGAGGAATAGTGCCCCATCGTTGGTGTCAGTGGGAGGAATAGTGCCCCATCGTTGGTGTCAGTGGGAGGAATAGTGTGCCCCCCATCGTTGGTGTCAGTGGGAGGAATAGTGCCCCATCGTTGGTGTCAGTGGGAGGAATAGTGCCCCATCGTTGGTGTCAGTGGGAGGAATAGTGCCCCATCGTTGGTGTCAGTGGGAGGAATAGTGCCCCATCGTTGGTGTCAGTGGGAGGAATAGTGCCCCATCGTTGGTGTCAGTGGGGAGGAATAGTGCCCCATCGTTGGTGTCAGTGGGAGGAATAGTGCCCCATCGTTTGGTGTCAGTAGGAGGAATAGTGCCCCATCGTTGGTGTCAGTGGGAGGAATAGGAATAGTGCCCCATCATTTCTATCAGTGGGAGGAATAGTGCCCCATCGTTGGTATCAGTGGGAAGGATGATGCCCCATTGTTGGTGTCAGTGAGTAGAATAGTGCCCCATCATTGGTGTCGGTGGGAGGAATAGTGCCCCGTTGTTTGTGTCAGTGGGTGGAATAGTGCCCCAGTATTCGAGTCAGTGGTTGGAATAGTACCTCCATGACCAGACAAAAGCAAGCACAGGGCCACATCCAGTCCGCGGGACACAGTTTGGAGACCACTAGGCTAGATGATGCTGGATGTCCTCCAGCCAGGAAATGAGGCGGAGCTCTATCTGACTTGCTGCAGCTTCTAATGCACATTGTGAGCAGCTCCCAGTGTGCAGTGAAATCAGAAGAAGCCTAGGAGAGGCACCGGCACAACTATACAAGACTGAAGGGAAGTCCAGAGATTTTATTTTTTTTCTGTCTGCAGTGTCTTGTACAGCAAAGTTTGCATCCCCGGGACCAGCTCATTCATTCCTTTTCTGTTCTTCTTTCTCTGATGTGGGTGTCACCTCCTGCTACCAGGACAACGCCGACAACAAACAGACGATAGGACACAATCTCTCTTCTGCCCGGGTGGAGTCACGGATCTGAAGTTTCACGAATTTCCTCCTCGCTCACCGCCCATATTCATCTGCTGACGCTCTTGTGGTCAATTTCCACCCAGCAGAGCTACCGCTTGTTGAAAAGTACAAGTCTGAAAACCAAGCGGTTGGGTGAACGAGGCAATTCACATCACACAGCAAGATGAAGAGAAAACAGGATAGATGTGAAGTACATGCCAATCAGAATTTAATAAAATCTCCTATTAGCTTTTAATATCTTAAAATCTCTTTCAAAAACTCCTAGCAACAGGCGGCAATCCTGCCACGGCGGTCCTTGATCAGGCACCTCCTGTTGGAGGGTGACAACGCTTTGTTTCTGTCTCCCAATAGTTCTCCTGCGTTGTCACCCTGTCGCACAGGCTTCCTAATTTGCCTTTTCAACACTGGTCGGCTCAGGAAGCCTCTTCTGCAGGCATCGAAGGAAGTGGATGCAGATAGACGGCAGGAGATCAGCAGTACTGAGATGAATAAAGGATATAAAAGGACCGTTTATTAACTCTCACAGACATCACAGTGCTCTCCCTGACAATACATTAATTAGACTTTCTTTCCAGAAGGACAGCGCCAACCTTGTACAGGCCTCATCCATGGTCGCCATCTACTTCCGAGAATGACAAGGGAGACCCAGAACTTATTCTTCCACCCTCGAGGCTTCTATGGTATTACGGCACGTCACACCGATATGTTTCTCTTTTGACCACCAAAATCCACCAATCAGAGAGGGCAGGCAACAAAGGAGATCCTCTTGTGTGACTACAATATGGAAGCCCTATAGACTTCAGGCACCGTTCCAAGTAATGGTCCTATAATCATCCAGTGATTGGCTGTAGGAGCCGGTGCTAAGAAGGCCCAATCCTGGCTCTCAGCTTGACTCCTCCCAGATAATACCACTGATGCATTTCATCCCGCCCACAGGGCTTAGTTATAGGGGTCATAGGACCCCTCGTGTAACTACAAAGTGGAAGCCCTATGGACTTCAGGCACTGCTTCAAGTGATGGTCCTATAATCCTCCATTGACTCACATTGGTTGTAGGTGCCAGCGCTGGGAGGGCCCTGTCCTGACTCTCAGCCTGACTCCTCCCAGGTAATACCACTGATGCATTTCACCCCACCCATAGGGCTTAGTTATAGGGGTCATAGGACCCCTCGTGTGTAAATACAATGTGGAAGTCCTATAGACTTCAGGCACTGCTTCAAGTGTTGGTCCTATAACCCTCCATTGACTCACATTGGTTGTAGGTGCCAGCCCTGGGAGGGCCCTGTCCTGACTCTCAGCCTAACTTCTCCCAGGCCATACCACTGATGTGTTTCATCCCACCCAAAGGGCCTATTGGACTCCCCTTGTGAGACTACAATGTGGAAGCCTTATAGACTTCGGGGGCTTCTCCAAGCAATGGTCCTATAATCCTCCGGTGATGCAAATTGGTTGTAGCTGCCGGCGCTGACAGGGCAATCCCGGCTCTCAGCCCGACTCCTCCCAGGCTACGCTACTGACGCGTTTTGCCCCACCCACAGGGCTCAGTCATACAGATCATAGGACCCCCTTGTGTAACTACAATGTGGATACCTTATAGACTTCAAGTGCCACTCCAAGTAATGGTCCTATAATCCTCCATTGACATCTCACATTGGTTGTAGGTTCCAGCACTAGTAGGGCCCTGTTCTCGCTCTCAGGCCTGATTCCTCCCAGGCCATATCACTGATGTGTTTCATCCCACCCAAGGGGCCCATTTATAGGGGTCATAGGACCCCCCTCGTGTAATTACAATGTGGAAGCCTTATAGACTTCAGGTGCCACTCCAAGTAATGGTCCTATAATCCTCCATTGACTCACATTGGTTGTATGTGCCAGCGCTGGGAGGGCCCTATCCCGGCTCTCAGCCTGACTCCTCCGAGGCCATACCACTGATGTGTTTCATCCCACCCAAAGGCTTATTTATAGGGGTCATAGGGCCCCTTCGTGCAATTACAATGTTGAAGCTTTATAGACTTCGGGGGCCGCTCCAAGCAATGGTCCTATAATCCTCCGGTGATGCAAATTGGTTGTAGCTGCCGACGCTGACAGGGCAATCCCGGCTCTCAGCCTGACTCCTCCCAGGCTACGCTACTGACGTGTTTTGCCCCACCCGCAGGGCTCAATCACAGGGGTCATAGGACCCCCACGCGTGGAATGTGTAAGCATTTTAGGAACATTTTTGTACTGGGGACATTAAATTCAGCTTCTGGAAGCATGCTCTTGGCAAAGAAACATCGGCTGCCCAGTGACATGTGTGGGCATTAAAGCCCACCCTTTTGCTGTCGCACACATATGCCCCAGCATAAAGGGGTTAAAGGGACACCAAGAAAGGGTTTAAAAAGGCTACTTAAAAAAAAAAAAAGCAATATTCCTGTTTCTGTGTGTGGGACTCCATATCTCTCCTCTGGCCTCCAAACTGTTCGTTTACAATCCGTTCCAGGCTTGTGAAGCAGCAGATCAAACAAACTGAAACCAGAAGTGACAAAATCCTTGTTTCCAGTTTCTGTGGGAGGAACAACATACAGCGGGAGGAACAACATCAGTCCCTCTCACTGTGTCCAAGAAGCTGATGCAGCTGGTGGCATCCTTGCTCAGCTGAGCTTGGTAAAGGACTAAAAGCACTAACTCTCCAGTGCCTCAAAGGGATCAGTGCCAGTTAGAATCCAGGGAATCCGATGACGTGATAGCCTTGGGATGCAGGCCTCCTCCGACTGGGAGATCAACCAAAACTGGAGAGGAAGCGCGCAGGTGGCGCCAACACCTAGCGCAATATCCAAGGTTTATTTCAAAAAAGTTTAAAAACAGAAAACGTACTCCCAAAATGAGGTACATAAAAAAGCCTGTAAAGCCACAGGGATGGCCCAACGTGATGGCAGAGTGTCCGACTGGTGGTGAAGTCGTCTTCTGACGCGTTTCGGGAGTGCGTCCCCTTCCTCGGGGCTTCAGCTCTGATTTTCAAAGTCAGATCGGTGTGACCGGAGACTAATGCCGGCCATACAATACAAGAATAATTGGACGATTTTCGCTCTGTTAGTGGGTCAGTGGCACCGGTTCCTACCCTTTTCGGTGATCGGGCATGCTGGAAAATTCGTGAAAAACAACCGATCTTTCAAATCAATGATGGTCAAATCGTACGATCGCTTTTTCCAAAAGAATGAGCCGTGATCTGGAAGGAACAGAAGTCTCGCCTGTTATATGGGGTGAACTTTATGACTCGGTCGGTCGATTTTCAAAATCATTGATGGCACCATCGGATTACCGAGCGAACGTTTTCGATTTTCAGACGAAAAATCGTTTGGAATTTGAACCATGTATGGCCTGCATAAAAGTGTACCCTGATCTTACTGGCAATTTCTTTAAAACTACAATTGTTCTTTGATAGTGTGACCGCCAATGTAAGGGGCATTCTTCCCACTGATCACCAATGTAAGGGGCATTCTTCCCACTGACCACCAATGTAAGGGACATTCTTCCCACTGATCCCCAATGTGTAAGGGACATTCTTCCCCACTGACCACCAATGTAAGGGACATTCTTCCCACTGATCACCAATGTAAGGGACATTCTTCCCACTGATCACCAATGTAAGGAGCATTCTTCCCACTGACCCCCAATGTAAGGGACATTCTTCCCACTGACCTCCAATGTAAGGGACATTCTTCCCTCTGACCACCAATGTAAGGAGCATTCTTCCCACTGACCACCAATGTAAGGGACATTCTTCCCACTGACCTCCAATGTAAGGGACGTTCTTCCCACTGACCACCAATGTAAGGGACATTCTTCCACTGACCACCAATGTAAGGGTCATTCTTCCCACTGACCACCAATGTAAGGGACATTCTTCCCACTGACCACCAATGTAAGGGACATGTGTATAATCCCTTAACGCCGATGCTGCCCTTTAAGGGGTTTCTGATGCAAGGAGGCGGAGTTTTTTAATCATTTGACCACCGGGATTGGCTGTTGGCAAGTAACGATAGGCTTTCCAGTAGGTGCTGGGTACCTGTGTGCTGGGAGCCCGCAGGGTGTTCGCTCTTGGCACAGGTTTGTCTACATTTTTAGTATGCAAATATGTGACCTCTCAGCCTCAAGGCCCACACCCGCAAGAGGCCGCATATTTGCGTACTCTCTGCACAAAGAGGTTTATTGAGCCTGTGCAGCAGAGTTTTCCTAGATATGTTTCTCTTACTGTTGTTATGTTGATAAATATTAGTCAAGCAATCATAGCTATCGTCTATAAATTCCATTCTCAACCAGGGTTCCTCCTTTAGAGTTTTTGGTAGAGGTTCCTTAATCTAAGGTTCCTGATCTAATGGTGTCTCTGTAGTTCCAGGGCCAACGCCACTTGGCAGAGCCAGCGGCATGACAACAATCATCTTGGTTATAAAGGTGATATTCTGCTTGTAAAGAAGATTACTTCCCACTGACCCCCAATGTAAGGGACATTCTTCCCACTGACCACCAATGTAAGGGACATTCTTCCCACTGACCACCAATGTAAGAAACATTCTTCCCACTGACCACCAATGTAAGGGACATTCTTCCCACTGATCACCAATGTAAGGGACATTCTTCCCACTGACCACCAATGTAAGGGACATTCTTCTCACTGACCACCAATGTAAGGGACATTCTTCCCACTGACCTCCAATGTAAGGGACATTCTTCCCACTGATCACCAATGTAAGGGACATTACTTCCCACTGACCACCAATGTAAGGGACATTCTTCCCACTGATCACCAATGTAAGGGACATTCTTCCCACTGGACCACCAATGTAAGGGACATTCTTCCCACTGATCACCAATGTAAGGGACATTCTTCCCACTGATCATCAATGTAAGGGACATTCTTCCCACTGATCACCAATGTAAAGAGCATTCTTCCCACTGACCACCAATGTAAGGGACATTCTTCCCACTGATCACCATGTAAGGGACATTCTTCCCACTGATCACCAATGTAAGGGACAATCTTCCCACTGACCACCAATGTAAGGGACATTCTTCCCACTGACCACCAATGTAAGGGACATTCTTCCCACTGATCACCAATGTAAGGAACATTCTTCCCACTGATCCACCAATGTAAGGAGCATTCTTCCCACTGACCACCAATGTAAAGGACATTCTTCTCACTGACCACCAATGTAAGGGGCATTCTTCCCACTGATCACCAATGTAAGGGACATTCTTCCACTGACCACCAATGTAAAGGACATTCTTCTCACTGACCACCAATGTAAGGGACATTCTTCCCACTGACCCCCAATGTAAGAGACATTCTTCTCACTGATCACCAATGTAAGGGACATTCTTCCCACTGACCGCCAATGTAAGGGACATTCTTCTCACTGACCACCAATGTAAGGGACACATTTCTTCCCACTGACCCCCAATGTAAGAGACATTCTTCTCACTGATCACCAATGTAAGGGACATTCTTCCCACTGACCGCCAATGTAAGGGACATTCTTCCCACTGACCACCAATGTAAGGAACATTCTTCCCACTGATCACCAATGTAAGGGACATTCTTCCCACTGACCACCAATGTAAGGGACATTCTTCCCACTGATCACCAATGTAAGGGACATTCTTCCCACTGATCATCAATGTAAGGGACATTCTTCCCACTGATCACCAATGTAAGGGACATTCTTCCCACTGATCACCAATGTAAGGGACATTCTTCCCACTGACCACCAATGTAAGGGGACATTCTTCCCACTGACCACCAATGTAAGGGGCATTCTTCCCACTGATCACCAATGTAAGGGACATTCTTCCCACTGACCACCAATGTAAGGGACATTCTTCTCACTGACCACCAATGTAAGGGACATTCTTCCCACTGACCACCAATGTAAGGGACATTTTTCCCACTGATCACCAATGTAAGGGACATTCTTCCCACTGATCATCAATGTAAGGGACATTCTTCCCACTGATCACCAATGTAAGGGACATTCTTCCCACTGATCACCAATGTAAGGGACATTCTTCCCACTGACCACCAATGTAAGGGGACATTCTTCCCACTGACCACCAATGTAAGGGGCAATCTTCCCCACTGATCACCAATGTAAGGGACATTCTTCCCACTGACCACCAATGTAAAGGACATTCTTCTCACTGACCACCAATGTAAGGGACATTCTTCCCACTGACCCCCAATGTAAGAGACATTCTTCTCACTGATCACCAATGTAAGGGACATTCTTCCCACTGACCGCCAATGTAAGGGACATTCTTCCCACTGACCACCAATGTAAGGAACATTCTTCCCACTGATCACCAATGTAAGGAACATTCTTCCCACTGATCACCAATGTAAGGGACATTCTTCCACTGATCACCAATGTAAGGAACATTCTTCCCACTGATCACCAATGTAAGGAGCATTCTTCCCACTGACCACCAATGTAAGGGACATTCTTCCCACTGATCACCAATGTAAGGAACATTCTTTCCACTGACGACAATGTAAGGGGTATTTTAGCAGGGGTTCCCCAGAAAATAGTTTCACAGGTTCCTCTGGGACAAAAAGGTTGAGAATTGCCGATCTATAACATGCCCTGACAGTGTACACAGACTGATTGTATGATATTGTGGATAGGTTGAGCCTGTAAGGAAGAAGCATGCTTGTATCTAAATAAAAAACATGTTTTATTGCATAATCCATCAATCTATGTACAATGTAGATATCTGTGACAGTAACATTGAACAGTACAAGATACTGATTCCATTGAGCCACATCAGGTTATTATTGTAGAAATGTTAAGTCCTGAAAGTCATTAATATTTCAGTGGAAGGTCCACAGTCCTTAGTTTTTTTTTCCCAGATTTTAAAGTGTCATGCGTGAACATATTTCGGGAGGCTCTTTGTCAGCCCATGTCTGGCATGGAGACACATGAAAGCAGAGAAAATTCAAGAAACAGAATCTACTCTAGACATATATATATAAAAAAGACAGAAAGACACATAGATGAACATTGTCCATGATACATGTAGCATATTTCAAGCCTTCAGTGAGACTTATGGCAACCGCTAATCCAACAGTGAACACGATCTGTGTAAACCTACACTTCGTTGCCCTTTAAATTCGTGGAGGCGCCAGCGAAACCCCCCCCCCCCCCCACTAGCACTTCACAGGACAAATGCTTAACCCAACTAATGACAGGTTTTCATTGCAAAGTGATGAGGTGCATAATCAAGCTCTTCCGTGTTGTAAAAACTCAATGAAGCAACGACTCTTCACCAGTCTCTTGTTCCCAAAGGCGACCGCTCTCTGTTTTCAAACATGGTTCATGGTCAAGCGAAAAAAACAGAGACGTTACCTGGGCCCGGTTTTGTACTCCATTGGTTAGCCAACTGTGTCTTAAAGTGGTCCATGGTCTTTCTTCAGCAACTGCTCTTGGCCTTTTTTTTGCATAAAAAAAGTGCCCGACATCGAGAAAGGCAGCTTCCATAGCGGGCGAGCACGCTCTTGATTGGCACTCTTTCTCGGGAAGAGTCCATGAGTTGGCTTCGCTCACTGTTGAAGAAAAGACTTTGTGAGGAAGCCTTTGCTCTAGCCCTGGTACAACTCAAGGATGCCAGGTTTAGGCTAGTCAACGACCCTCCAGGCCAAGGTGACACTTTAAAGAGGGAGGAGGAGGAAAAAAAAATTACATTTTTTTTCTCACGTTATCGCAGGGAGACGATTAGGAAAAGTTCAGTGGCTCTGCCCACTCCATAGACAGAGCCACTTAGACTGCAGATCCTGCTGAGCGTGGTTTGGGATGGATGCAGGTACTCTAGGTTTGACACTCCTGTTGTTTCATCAGAAGGTAGCCGAGACTGGAACTTCTTCATTTGCTCCGGGCTGGCAAGGTTCTTTAGCAGGCAATTCTCTCTTTCCAACTGAGAGTTTTTCTCCACTAGCTCTTTAATCTGCTCCTTTAGAACCTCCACCTCTTCTCGTACTGCGTACATGAGATGGTTCTTCACCAAGTCCTAAGAGAACAAAATAATTAAAGACATTAGTGAACAATGCAACTGTCAAATTTGTACACTAATATGACCAACTCCAGGGCTTCACCAAACAGAGATCAGTAACCTTCTAAAGAGTCCTACAGAGACTAAAACTTCCAAAAACTACACAAAAAATCCAAACCAACAAGTACTTCACCTGAGTTACGCAACCTAAAGATGACCTTGTAGCTTGCTATATAGAAGCCCCCAGCCCCACATCCTAAATTGCAAGACCTAAAAGTAAAATTACCCCAACTCTCCCATCTCCACCCCCAAAAAAAAAAACATTTTAGGCTCGTTCATCTAGTAAAGACTTTCCCAACCTTTTCAAACCTTTAAAATAGCTTTCCAGTTTTGGGGAACCCCTTTTAAAATCTACTGCATCTACAACTCATGATACATTAGTGTGATGGTCATTGGGAAGAATCCCCCCTTATAGATAGCTAAGAGATCAATGGTGTCAATCGGAATGTAACTGAGGGGCTCGGGGTTTCTCAACCAGAGTTCCATAGAATCCTAGGGTTCCTCCAGAGGTTGCTAGGCGTTCTTTCAGCAATTTGCTCATTGCTCAAGGAACACCTAGAAACCCCTGGAGGAACCCCCTCAAGGAACCCATAGCAACTCCTGGAGGAACCCCCTAAAGGAACCCCTAGCAACTCCTGGAGGAACCCCATCAAGGAACCCCTAGAGCAGGGATCTCCAAACTTTCTAAACAAAGGGCCAGTTTACTGTCCTTCAGAGTTTACAAGGGCCGGACTGCAGCCAGTGGGAGTAGAAAAGGTCCCGACGTCAGTGGGGGAAAAAAAAATATAATTCCCATTTGTTTGGTGTCAGAGGGAGGAATTCTGCCCCATCATTGATTTCATTGGACCCTATCATTTGTGTCACTGGAAGGAATTGTGCCTCATCATTGGTGTCATTGAAAGGAGTTGTGCCCCCTTGATTGGTGTAAGTGGGCGGAATTATACCCAATTAGAATGAGTGGATGAAATCGTGCCCCAAGGGCCAGATAAAAGCAAGCAAATGGCCGCAGTTTGGAAGACCATTGCCCTAGAGGAACCACTAACAACCTCTTGAAGAACCCTATAGTATCATGAAATCCTGATCTAGGCAAAGGTGAAGTTGCTTTATGCTCTCATGGGTTCCTGAGAAAGCCAAGGATGCCAAATCTTATGAGAGTTTGCTCCTGCATGGATGCTGGGGACTAAAGTATATATTTTCCTTTCCTTAGGACTTGAGATTTAGGTTTGGGGGTGAAGGACCACTATAAAGGGCTTAGTCTCATGGGTTCCTGAGAATGACTAGGAGACTCTGCTCCTACACTAACACTGGGGACCAAGGAATGTATTTTTTTTTTCCTTCTTAGGTCTTGAGATTTAGGTTTGGGGGTGGAGGACTACTATAAAGGGCTTAGTCTCATGGGTTCCTGAGAATGACTAGGAGACTCTGCTCCTTCACTGACACTGGGGACCAAGGTATGTATTTTTTTTTCCTTCTTCGGCCTTGAGATTTAGCTTTGGGGGTGGAGGACCACTATAAAGGGCTTAGTCTCATGGGTTCCTGAGAACGACTAGGAGACTCTGCTCCTACGCTGACACTGGGGACCAAGGTATGTATTTTTTTTTCCCTTCTTAGGTCTTGAGATTTAGGTTTCGGGGGTGGAGGACTACTATAAAGGGCTTAGTCTCATGGGTTCCTGAGAATGACTAGGAGACTCTGCTCCTACACTGACACTGGGGACCAAGGTATGTATTTTTTTTTTCCTTCTCAGGTCTTGAGATTTAGGTTTGGGGGTGGAGGACTACTATAAAGGGCTTAGTCTCATGGGTTCCTGAGAATGACTAGGAGACTCTGCTCCTTCACTGACACTGGGGACCAAGGTATGTATTTTTTTTTTCCTTCTTCGGCCTTGAGATTTAGCTTTGGGGGTGGAGGACCACTATAAAGGGGCTTAGTCTCATACGTTCCTGAGAATGACTAGGAAGCCTATAAAAATCTCATGAGACTCTGCTCCTACACTGACACTGGGGACCAAGGTATGTATTTTTTTTTTCCATTCTTAGGTCTTGAGATTTAGGTTTTGGGGTGGAGGACCACTATAAAGGGCTTAGTCTCTTGGGTTCCTGAGAATGACTAGGAGACTCTGCTCCTACACTGACACTGGGGACCAAGGTATGTATTTTTTTTCCTTCTTAGGTCTTGAGCTTTAGTAAACGGTGGTAGAGGGCTAATATAAGGGCTTATTTGCTTCAGAATGCCAAAAACACCCACCTAGGCCAAAGTAGAGTCACTCAGCGGTATCATGGGTTCCTGAGAATTAAGAGAGATTGCTCCTGCACCGACGCTGGGGACTAAGGTACGTATTTATTTTTGTTTTAGGTCTTGAACTTTAGTATCGGGGGTGGAGGGCTCAGATAAAGGGCTTAGTTGCTGCAAAATGCCAAAAAACCCACCTGGGCCATAGTGGAGTCTCTCTGCGCTATCATGGGTTCCTGAGAATGATGAGGATGCCAAGTCTCACGAGAGTTTGCTCCTGCACAGGTGCTGGAGGCTAAATTATATGTCTTTTTTGGGGTTTTTTTAGGACTTTTAGATTTTTAGAATCAGGGAGTGGAAAGCTCAAAAAAAGGGCTTAGTTACTGCAGAATGCGAGGTCTGCCCTAATATAACACCAATGACATCATAGGTGAATATTACATGAATTAGCTTTCATCATATAGTAAAACATTCATAAATGAAACATCCAGACCAGGGATATTACTAGCGGAGAACATTTAAAAAAAAACCCATAATAAATATTCATAAATTACAGATAGAAGATCTTTCTTTATTAGTTTGGAGTATATAAATGCGAAGGGTTAAAGGGAACAAAAAAAGGACTTCTTGTTCCATGTATACATAAGTCTGCTCAGATTCCCTCCAAGGAATGGGATTTCCCATAGGCCTAGACCCACGGTCCGCAGTTCACACTGCAGTCCCGTCCTGTCCAATGAGATTTCAGGTCCCGGGTGGTAAAAAAAAAAATCTGCCCGGCAACAAGCTTTGCCACAGGATGCAGTCACAAAAAAAAAAAAAACAAGGAGACCTCGGCTGGAAGTGCTTCTTGGGCTGCCAGCTTTGCATCTGATATTGCTTAGGAGCAAATTCTGCACTGATTACATGGCGGGGGGGGGGAGGGGGGAGAGATTTACTAAAACTCAGAATCTGGTGCAGCCGTGCATGGCAGCCAATCAGCTTCTGACTTCAGCTTTGCCAATTAAACCTGGAAGCTGATTGGTTTCTATGCAGAGCTGCGCCAGATTTTACCCACTTTTGGTAAATACCCCCCCCCCCCCATGCCTCTAGGGGCGCAGGAGGGGCGGCTGCCCTGGGCACTGCGAGGAGATGGAGGGGGAGGAGATTTGTGTTGAGAGGGGGAATTAAGGGGGCAGCATGGGGTATGAATTGCTTTAGAGAGAGAGATTTAGAAGGGTGTGCTAGGAACGGTGATTTAGGGGGGGTCTGTGTTGGGATGGGGGAAGAGGATTTTCGCTAGGAGGGGGGATTTGGGGGGTGGGGGTTGTGCTAGAAGAGATAATATGGTAGGGGGGGGGGGGATTGTGCTAGTAGGGGAAATTTTTGTTGGGGGGGAAAATTGTGCTAGTAGGGGAAATTTTTCTTTGGTGGGGAGGGGGGGGGGGGATTTGTGCTAGTAGGGGAAATTTTTCTTTGGAGGGGGGGGGGGATTTGTGCTAGTAGGGGAAATTTGGGGGGGGGGGATTTGTGCTAGTAGGGGAAATTTTTGTTTGGGGGGGGAGGAATTGTGCTAGGAGGGGAAATTTGGAGGGAGGATTTGTGCTGGGGAGGGAGGGGATTGGGGGGAATTTGTGTTGGAGGAGGGATTTGGAGTGGCGGGGGGAGATGTGTGCTCAGAGGGGAAATTTGAGGGGTAGAGGATGTGCAAGGAAGGGTGATTTTTTTTTTTTGGGGGGGGGGGGGGGGAGGAGTTAAGTTGTGCTGGGACGCTTTTGGGAATAGGGGGGGGTGGGCAAAGATTTGTCTTCAGAGCTGGGATTTCAGCAGCGGGGTGAATTTGTACTGGCAGGATGGGGAATTTGTTCTTGGGGGTAAGCATGCAGATTAGTGCTCAATTTTTGTGTTTTGTTTTTTTTTTTTTGTGTGGGGGGTGTTTGCTGACACATAATGCTCATACATCCTGGGGGGGGGGGCGCAGTTTGACATGCTTGCCCTGGGCCCTAGAGGACCTTATCCCGGCACTGCCTGTAGGCTGGACCATCATGGGACACATTTCTGCAGTCTGGACACTTGCCGTGATGGTATTCAGTGCGAAATTTCCTCTTCATGGGAGCATCATTTTGTAAAAGGTACTTTTTTATTTATTTTTTTTTATTTTTTTATTTTTTTTAAACGTGTCCTCCAATATAGTTTGCATATTATTTCTCTGCCAATCATAAAGGGACCTTTGCAGGCGTATCAAAACCAGTCGCAGGCCGAGATAACACTCACCATGGCTTGCTCGATCTTGTTATCAATCGCCACCACGCTTGCTCCTGAAGCGCTGTAAACATGAAAAACAAAAAACAAAAATTTTACTAATGCAATTGTAATTTCAAATATTAAAATCTGTGCAAAAAAAGACTTAATATATCGCTAGTTGTATAACAGGATTTCTGTAGTTTTCTTGTGGCAGGAGGAGGCAGCACATATCCCCGGAGGGGTTTGAACCTGACAGCACAGACAAAGCAGCAGTCCTCTCCCAGGAGGAGGAGGAAGCGTCTCGCTGTTCCAGTCCAAACCAGGAAAATCCTGCTCTAACCGACCAGCCGTGGTTTTATGAAGGCTTTGTAACAAAGCTCGGGCATGTCGGCGTTGTCACATAAGTAAACAGGTAGTAATGATGCAACCTTGCAACGCAAAAAAAAAAAAAAAAAAAAAATAATAAAATAATATGATTACGGTGAGGTTGTAGGTTGCTAATTTTAATGGGGATAATGCAGCACTTACAGATTGCATCAACCTCAAATTATTATTATTATTTTTTTTTTTATTATTATTTATAATAATATAATGCATGATTATAATAATGCAAAATAATATTTAAAATAATAAAAAGAAGAAGAATATAATGCATGATACTAATATGCAAAATAATATTAAAAATAATAATAGTATAATACACAATAATAACAATATTAATAAAGCAAAATAATAATAAATAATAATAATGCATGATAATATAATAAAGCAAAAAAAATGTTTAAAATAATATAATTCATGATATAAAAACAATATTAATAGAACAAAAGAATATTAAAAATAATAATGTATTATATTAATAATGCAAAAATAATAAAATAATATAATGCATGATAATAATAACAATATTAATAATGCAAAAAATAAATAAAATATAATATAATGCATTATAATAATAACAATATTATAAATAAAATAATAAAAAAATAATAATATAATGCATGATAATAAATTAATATAATAAAATAAATAATAATATTATAATGCAAAAAAATGAAAATAATAAATGCACAAATAATAATAATCATGCAAAATAATAATTAAAAATAATAATATAATATTAACGATATAATAACAATATTAATCATGCAAAATAAATATTAAAATAATAAATAATATAATGCATGATAATAATAACAATATTAATAAAAAAAAATAATAATAAATAATAATATAATGCATGATAATAATAACAATATTAATAGAAAAAAGAATATTAAAATAATAATGTATTATATATAATTAATAATGCAAAAAAATAAAATAATATAATGCATGATAATAATAACAATATTAATCATGCAAAATAATAATCTTAAAATAATAATATAATGCACGATAATAACAATATAATCATCATGCAAAATAATATTAAAATAATAATAATATAATGCATTATAATAATACCAATATTAATAAAAAAAAATAATATTAAAATGATAATATAATGCACTATAAATAATATTAATCATGCAAAATAATATTAAAATAATAAATAATATAATGCATGATAATAATAACAATATTAATAATGCAAAATAATATTAAAATAATATAATTAAAAATAAATAAAATTTAATAATATTTAAAAAAATATTCACTGCAATGCACCAGATGCATCTTTTTTTTTTTTTTTTTTTTTTTTTTTAAATTTCTGTTTATTGAAATACATCATTTTTAACAACAAATTCTGCATTTAGTTAACAATTTGCAGCTTTTGGTTAACAATTTTTTTAGATTTTAGATGGTTAAATGATTTTCTGTAAGGGTAGGTATAAAAAAATAAAATGACTGGAATCCTAAGCGCGATGTGAAAATATTACAAAAGGCGACTTTTTTTCGTTGCAGACCCATTGCCGCAGCGACACTATGAAGGTAATTTAATGTACAGAAAGTAAAAAGGGATCAGATGTTTACCTGTTATCCAGTTTAACAGAGACGACGTCGGCCCCCAGAAGGGAGGAGAAGAACGAGATGGAGAAATTGTGCAGTTCGTAGACCGCCACCTCTATGGGGTATTTACACATTCCTGTACTCATCTTTGCAGGGAAATATCTGGCCTTGCAATGTCCACAAGCTGCAGTGGTAGTCTCCTGTAGCCGGGGTGGATGTGATTGCACAGATCGGTATATGAATGGATGGTGTGAAGACTTTTTTGTGACTTCTATTGCTGACACAACCAAAGGCACTGACTGACTGCTATTTCAGAGCTCCCCCTCCTTATATAGCTGTGTCGGTGACGTCATATGGTGTCACCCTCCCATGCAAATAGGCTGCTTTCCTAACTCCCCCCCCCCCCCCCTCGCTCCAGACCAGAGAACTAATAAACAGCCTGGGTTCACTGCAGCACACTGACATATATGTGTCTGCTCCCAGAACACGGATTGTACCATCCTGACACTGAACTACAGAACACACCCCATCCTGCACCTGATGGCGATTATGTCACTTCCATCATATTCCATGCGGCTTGGATGTATGCACTGAAATAAATCATGCCATGACCCAAAACACTGAAAGTAAATATCACCCGTATGTCACAGACACGTCACATGGGTAGAAAAGTGCTTCACACATCTGACACACATACAACTGAAAAAATAATTACATTAGCATGAACATGTCAAATATGTGTGTGCATGTACAGTGTGTGTGTGTGTACAGTATGTGTGTGTAGTGTGTGTGTGTACAGTGTGTGTGTACAGTGTGTGTGTGTGTGTACAGTGGTGTGTGTGTACAGTGTGTGTGTGTGTACAGTGTGTGTGGTGTTACAGTGTGTGTGTGTGTACAGTGTGTATGTGGTTGTGTGTGTACAGTGTGTGTGTACAGTGTGTGTGCGTGTACATGTGTGTGTGTGTACAGTATGTGTGTGTGTGTGTACAGTGTGTGCGTGTACAGTATGTGTGTGTGTGTGTGTGTACAGTATGTGTGTGTACAGTGTGTGTGTGTGTGTGTGTACAGTATGTATGTGTGTGTGTGCGTGTACAGTTGTGCGTGTACAGTATGTGTGTGTGTACAGTGTGTGTGTGTGTACAGTGTGTGTGTGTGTACAGTGTGTGTGCGTGTACAGTATTGTGTGTGTACAGTGTGTGTGTGTGCGTGTACAGTGTGTGTGTGTGTGTGCGTGTACAGTGTGTGCGTGTACAGTATGTGTGTGTACAGTGTGTGTGTGTGCGTGTACAGTATGTGTGTGTGTGCGTGTACAGTGTGTGTGTGCGTGTACAGTATGTGTGTGTATGTACAGTGTGTGTGTGTGTGTGCGTACAGTATGCGTGTGTGTTGTACAGTATGTGTGTGTGTACAGTGTGTGCGTGCATGTACAGTATATATGTGTGTGTGTGTGTGTACAGTATGTTATAATTGTTGTATGTATGAATGTATGTATTATATATGTGTGTATGTATGAATATATGTATGCATGCATGTACTGAATGTATGTATGTATGTATTATATGTGTGTGTGTATGAATATATGTATGCATGCATGTACTGTATGTATGTATATGTATGTGTGTATGAATGTATGTTTGTGTATATATGTATTATATTCATTCTCACACACACACACACATGTATTCATTCATGTACTGTATGTATATATTAATGTATGTATTATATGTGTGTGTATGTATGAATATATGTATGCATGTACTGTATTTATATATGTATGCAAGTATGCGTTTGTATGTATGTATCTGTGTATGTATGTATTATATGTGTGTATGAAGGAATATATGTATGCATGCATGTACTGTATGTATATATATTAATGTATGTATGCATTATATATGTGTGTATGTATGCATTTTTGTACTATATTTATATATGTATGCATGTATATATGCAAGTATGTGTGTGTATGAACGTATGTATGAATACATGGGTGTATGTATTAATGTGTATAGGTGTGTATGTATATATATAATTATTCATGTATGTATGCATATGTCTATATATGTACTGTATGTGTGTATGTATGTATATATGTATGTCATGTATGTATGTAGGTATATATAATTGATTTTGTATGTTAAAAGGACAACTTCACTTTTATAAAGTTGTCCTTTCAGTAATCCTTCAACCCCCCCCGTAACTATAGCTGGTCATACATGATGGATCATTTTGTTTTGGATGGTTGTTTGATTGAACAGAACTGATCGGACTCTCCCACCCACACATCGGATGTCAGAACTCTCCCTGCTGTGCTGTCAGAATACACGGATCAGCACCGCAGGCACTGAGCGAGCAGCAATTTTCCAACAGTCCCGCTAGAGAGAAGCGGAGCGTTGGACTGACTTCTCCTGAACATGAATGGCCTTAGATGGACTGAAATTCGGTTGGTCCCTGCTGAAACCGGCTACATTTCCATCCATCTATGGCCGGCATTACCTTCCTCCTCATGCTGGAAATCCTTGCAGCCTCTGCTAAGAAGACATCCTGGCCGCATCCTCCATGCACACCATGGAGGCCACCATGAGTATGGCTCACCCATAGCAAGTAATGGGGCCACGGCACACATGCATAGTAGAAGAGATGGGCAGGATCACTGGAATGGAGAGGAAGGTAAGTGGCCATAGATGATTCCAATGCACACTCCAAGTGAGGAGGGTGCAGGAATCCCCCCTTGCTGGGACCCTCAGGCTTAGGCTGACTGAGGAACATTTCCCAACAAGCCCTCTGTTCTCCTCCTCCCGCTCATGTAAGCTGCCACATATACATAGAGAAGATGAAGGGGGAAGTATCAGTCTTACTCCCCATGGGGCCCCGAAACTGACAGCAGCTCTCAACAGTAAGGGAGGGGAGAAGTGGGGGGAAGCAGCACAATGTACCCTGCAAGGGCCCTCCCAGCCCTCTGCAAGAAAAAATACTGATTTTTTTTTAAATTTTCCCTGCATGTGATTGGCTGTTGTTTGCAAAGTGAAGCCTCACTTCATTTACTAAGCTCCGGAGCAACCGCACTTCCAAAGTGCACAGTCTATTTGCCTTTAGAAAATCAACCCCCAATGTTTATGTGCTAAGGTCTGGAACAGGGGCAGACTGACAACTCATGGGGCCCCCGGGCAATAGGGGATCATGGGGCCCCTGTGTCCTTGCCCAAACTCAAAAAAGCCTATGAAAAATGTACCAGGGGCATCTCATGGGGCCCCCTACTGACCCCGGGCTCTCGGGCAGTGCCTGAGTTTCCAAATGGTCAGTCCGCCCCTGGTCTGGAACAACCGCACTTGCAAAGTGCACAGTCTATTTGCCTTTAGAAGATCAATCCCCGTCTTTTTCTTTTTTTACTGCTTCCATCCAGACTGTAGACACACATCGAGGGTTAATCCACTAAAGGCAAATAGACTGTGCACTTTGCAAGTGCGGTTGCTCCAGAGCTTAGCAAATGAGGTAAAGCTTCACTTTGCAAAGAATAGCCAATCACATGCAAGGAAAATATTTAAAAAAACACATTTTTTTTTTCTTGCACATGATTGGACGATGAAAGTCAGCGGAGCTTCTGCTCATTTACTAAGGTCTGAAACAACCGCACTTGCAAAGTGCACAGTCTATTTGCCTTTAGTAAATCAACCCCCCAATGTTTATGTGCTAAGGTCTGGAACAACCGCATTTGCAAAGTGCACAGTCTATTTGCCTTTAGTGAATTAACCCTCGATGTGTGTCTACAGTCTGGATGTAAGCAGTAAAAAAAAAAAAAAAAAAAAAAAGTCTGAGGTTGATTTTCTAAAGGCAAATAGACTGTGCACTTTGCAAGTGCGGGTGCTCTGGAGCTTAGTAAATGAAGTCAAGCTTCACAGTCTATTTGCCTTTAGTAAATCAACCCCCAATGTTTATGTGCTAAGGTCTGGAACAACTGCATTTGCAAAGTGCACAGTCTATTTGCCTTTAGAAAATCAACCTCAGACTTTTTTTTTTTTTTTTTTTTTTTTTTTTACTGCTTACATCCAGACTGTAGACACACATTGGGGGTTAATTCACTAAAGGCAAATAGACTGTGCACTTTGCAAGTGCGGTTGTTTCAGAGCTTAGCACATAAACATCGGGGGTTGATTACTAAAGGCAAATAGACTGTGCACTTTGCAAGTGCGGGTGCTCCGGAGCTTAGTAAATGAAGAGAAGCTTCACAGTCTATTTGCCTTTAGTAAATCAACCCCCCGATGTTTATTTGCTAAGCTCTGAAACAACTGCACTTGCAAAGTGCACAGTCTATTTGCCTTTAGAAAATCAACCTCAGCCTTTTTTTTTTTTTTCTTTTTACTGCTTACATCCAGACTGTAGACACACATCGGGGGTTAATTCACTAAAGGCAAATAGACTGCACTTTGCAAGTGCGGGTGCTCCGGAGCTTAGTAAATGAAGCTTCACAGTCTATTTGCCTTTAGTAAATCAACCCCCGATGTTTATTTGCTAAGCTCTGGAACAACCGCACTTGCAAAGTGCACAGTCTATTTGCCTTTAGTAAATCAACCCCCGATGTTTATTTGCTAAGCTCTGGAACAACCGCACTTGCAAAGTGCACAGTCTATTTGCCTTTAGTAAATCAACCCCCGATGTTTATTTGCTAAGCTCTGGAACAACCGCACTTGCAAAGTGCACAGTCTATTTGCCTTTAGTAAATCAGCCCCCGATGTTTATGTGCTAAGCTCTGGAACAACCGCACTTGCAAAGTGCACAGTCTATTTGCCTTTAGTAAATCAAACCCATTGACACATTACGGGAGGACGTCACTCCTAGCCGGTTCAGCGTTCCTAGATGTCCATCAGCAGCTGTGAATCCCTGGCTCCCCCTGCTGGCCTCTTTGCTCCTCTACAACACCCCGAAGCCGTGTTTACCCTCGTCCAGCAGACAGAACACTGTGTTCTCCTTTGATAGAGCCAAAACAATACCGAAGGCAAAGTGTTTTGTGGCTTCCTACACAAAGCAGATACATATTTTTGTTTGCGCCGGAGCTGTTTTCAAGGTGTGGTCGTCCCTAATGTGACCTAATTTCGAAGGATGACTCAATATTATCCAAGGATTAGGTAAACTTTGTTATGGCAAGCACTTTCTCATTTATTATTAACAGCGTGGAAAAATTTTCCATAAAGATGTTTCAGCTCTCTGCACAGCAGCAGATGCAGAGCCGCATGGAGGGAACAGTACGTTCTCTCCTCCTGTACAAGGCCCTTTGCTCCCCGGGGCTGAGAATGGCAAA